CCCCAAAACCCCAAAACCCCAAAACCCCAAAACCCCAATCTTCAATAATTTATTTGAAAAAATGAATGTTTTATATTTTTTCCTTAAAATCGCTACCTAAAAAATTTAAACGCTAATGGGTTCCTTAAATGACCAGGCTATATGAGAAATCTCTATGTATCTAATCCATGTTAAAGGCAGCAAAAGTAGCTTTATTTTGCCAATTTACAGACAGTTTTGAATACCTAAAATAGAATATTTATTCTAGATCAGGAAGCTCATCAAGGTCGAAATCAGGCTCATATGGTTCCTCCTCTTTTTTATCGTAAGGCTCTGGTAGTTGTTCTAGCTCTTTTGGTTTTGGTTCTGGCTTCTTAGCTTCCTCTTTTGAGTCAAATTTTTCCTTCATCTCCTCTTGCATTTCCTCAAGCATTCTTCTCTTCTTATACTCCTCTCTTCTCTCTTTAGCTTCCTTGGTGTTTCTAGGACGTTTATAAACAGTTGGGCAGATGACAAGTAAGCCACCTGTAGTTTTGGACCTTTCTACTTTACTCTTTTCAACTTCAATCTCTTCTGGAAGTCTGAACTGAGTGATTTTCCCCTTCACGTCAAATCTGACGTAGAGAGGGTTAACATCAACATCTAATAAATCTGTAGTCAGATATTTAGGGATGAAGAGCTCCACTAAAACCCTATCATTATCTTCATCTTCAGTGATTTTGAAATCGTACCTGCCTTCGTTACACTGACGGATTTCTCCATCTTCATTGTAAACACTGGGAGGACCATCTCTTTTATGCAAGAACTCCTCAGAAACTTCGAATGGATTCTTAGGTTTGTTCAGTTCTGCTTGTCTCTTCTGCTCAAGATCATCCTGATAATCCTTCATACGAGATTCTGGATTGAATGCGTTAAGGTCAACTGGCTCAGTTTCCTTCTTATACCGTACAGCTTCTGCTTTCTTTGCCAGAATTTCTTCAAGCTCTTCAAGTCTTTGTTCTGCCAAGATCTGCATGCTCCTGGTAATATCGGTAGAATCGATCCTTCTAAGTTGAGGAATTTTTGCTATCACGTAATCTTTATAATCTTTCCAGTCTGTACAAGGGTTTCCTGTCAGAGTAAACTCTTTGATGTTGTCACAAAGAGAAAGATGCTCTATGGACTCTTTGAACACATCTAAATCTATAAAGTTCAGCGTCAGGTCAAGTTTGTACAGACTTTCGCATGTAGAAAGTCCTTCAATTTTCGTCACGTTGTTGACAGCTAGATTAAGGTACTCAAGTTCCTTTAGCTTATGCAAATTTTCAATTTTAGGAATCAGGTTGTTTTGGAGGTACAAAATCTTTAAATGGCGACAGAACTTGTCTATATTTTCTATCCTTGTGATGTTCAGCTGATGAAGAGTGATCTCTTCCAAAGTTGATAGCATTCCTTCATTATGCTCAGCTCTCTTCCTCAAGAATTCCTCATCAATGACGGTGACTTCAGCCATTCTGGATTTTATGCAAAAATTTGAATTTAATTTAATAAGAGGGGTTTTGGGGTTTTGGGGTTTTGGGGTTTTGGGG